TCTCTAAAAAAAACAGAGAGGAACAAGAGAGAAAATGTTGTTCTGCGAGTGAGATAAATTTTATATACGGTTTAATTCCGTCGTAAAACAGACGCAAAACCATTAACCTATTTTTTAGCCAAATAAGATTTTTTTTGGTTTTGGTCGCAATTTCGTCGCAAATCAAGAGAAATTAATTAAAATTTTTTTTGTTTACCGCCACATAGCGTCGCTAATAATTCGCAAAGGAAGCGAAATTAATTATTTTGTTTTGGTTTTACCGCCACATTTCGTCGCAAGTAAGAGGCAAATCTAGAAAAGTAAATTAAAACTTATTTTTATCATCACAAATTGACGCAATTGAGTCGCAAATGAAGCAAAATTAATTATTATTTTTTTTTGGTTTTATCTACACATTCCATCGCAAATCCAACATAAATACATTAAAATAAACGCAATTGAGTCGCTAATGAAGCGAAATTATTATTTTTTTTTTGGTTTTTGGCCACATTCCATCGCAAACGCCATGCAAACAGATATGCCACGCAACTTCGACACAATATATAAGTATTTGCGATGGATTTGCGAGTATACGAAACTTTTACGACGCAAAAAAGAAGCAAATTAGATTTGGGGCAAACTTAGGGTTTAGAGATCAATCATATCCTATAGCAAGCTACCAAAATATGTGTTCCAATGTAAATTGATAGTTCAAACAAAATTTTAAGCACATATATAAGAAATTCCAGAAATCGTCAAAAATAATCAATTGAACATAGTTTGTTGATATAGTTACATTTACATTGGTCTATTAGTTCAACAATGGTGTTATTTCAAAATGATGTTATCAACAACGTTCCATCGAACAATATAGGATCTATAATCACCAGTGATTAATAAACACACGAGAGACGGTATTATGAAACTAACCAGAACCATAGCATTTTAGGGTATAGGATTTGTAATTTTGCTTCTGATTTGCGGTTTATCGCCGCAAATTAGTCGCAAATTCTAAATTTAGCCGTAAATTAGTCGAAGTTGTTAAATCTAGCAGCAAATCCCTCGCAAATTTGCTTCGGATTTGCGTCTCAAAGCCGCAAAAAAGTCGCGACTATCATTTTGTCCGATAAAAATCGTGCAAAGTCATTGAAAACGTGTTCTAACTATTTTCCATGCAATACAGACGTAAACCGAAGAAAATATCAAGGGCCGCAAATTAGTTGCGAAAGTTCGTCAAATTGGCGACTAAAAGAAAGACCTTCACAAGAAAATATCTTTCTATACAAATCCGTCGCAATATTGCATCCACATTGCGTCTAAATTCAATAATTCGCAGAAAATATATCTTTCAGCGCAAATCTCTCGCAACATTGCTACACACTTGCGTCGAACGACTACGAAGACGCAACATGAACGCAAACTTGCGATATTATTTGCGATGAAATATATTCTCGCAAATTTGCGTTTAATATGGGTCTGTCAACGCAAAACAGACACACTTTCGACGCAAAATTGCGAGTACGAAAAACAGT